AACATACTTGAGATATACATACATGGGCCGGGCACGGTGGCTCACGCCTGTAATCCTAGCATTTTGGGAGGTTGAGGCAGGTGGATCACCTCAAGTCAAAAGTTTGAGACCAGCCTGGCTAACATAGTGAAACCTCGTCTTTCCTAAAAAGACAAAAATTAGCAGGATGTGGTGGTGGACGCTTGTAATTCCAGCGACTCGGGAGGCTGAGGCAGGAGAATCACTTCAACCTGGGAGGCGGAGGTTGCAGTGAGCAGAGATCATGCCACTGCACCCCAGCCTGGTGACAGAGCAAGACTCCATTTAAAAAAAAAAAAAAGAAGAAGATGTACATACATGCACGGGTTGAACATCCCTAATTAAAAAATCCAAAATGCTCCAAAATCTTTTCTCTTTTGAGACAATCTCCCTCAGTCGCCCATCTCAGCTCACTGCAACCTCCACCTCCTGGGTTCAAGCAGTTCTCCTGCCTCACTCAGCCTCCTGAGTAGCTGGGATTGCAGACATGTGCCACTGTACCTGACTAATGTTTGTATTTTTGATAGAGATGGGGTTCTTTCATATTGGTCAGGCTAACTCCTGACTTCAGGTAATTCGCTTTCCTTAGCCTCTCAAAGTGCTGGGATTAGACGTGAGCCACCGTGCGTGGCTAGCCCCAAAATCTGAAACTTTCTGCATGCTGACATGATTCCCCTCCACAAGTGGAAAATTCCACACATAAGTACTTGACACAAACTTTGTTTCATGCACAAAATTATTTAAAATATTGTATACAATTACCTTCAGGCTGTGCTTATAAAGAATTTGGTCTTTGGAGTTGGGTACCATCCCTAAGATACCTCATTACGCATAGGCAAATATTCCAAAATCTGAAAAAATCCAAAACACTTCTGATCCCAAGCATTTTGGATAAGGGATACTTAATGTGTGTGTGTGTATGTCTGTGTGTGTATATATGTGTAATATATATATGTAGACATATATACAGAGCTGGGTGTATGCATATTTGTATGAACAGATAACATGCATGTTTATTATATATATATATATGTGAGACTGGCGACTAGGTGTATTTGGGTCATATTTGTATTCCAGGGTTGAGCCCATCAAATATGGCTTGAAAGGGCAGATGAATGAAAGAATATTAGCAATAGTAGTTAAACATTTGCTTGATCCTTAGCAGGCATCCCCAGGCCACGTGAGAGGGCTTTAGACGCAGGATTTTTTTTGAATCCTTGCAGTCACCCATGAGACAGAGATGGCTCTCGCCGCCACTCAGCAGAGAGGAGGAAGCTCTAAGAGCTCTCTCTTGCCTCTGCCACCCAGAAAGGAACCACGGGACTAAAGGGAGAACTCATGTCTGATAGCATCAGAACAATGTACCCATGAGGATAAGGCCTGGGTCTCTTGGTCATAGTTGAGGCCCCAGCAGTGGCCCAGGAGCACAGCACTCAGGAATGAATAGCTGCCATTTATTAAGGGCCCATGGTGTACCAGACACACTGCCCACCAGTTTGGCATAGTAGTCCCTTTCACAGGCCTGCAAGGTGGGTATTGATCATGCCTGCGTTGAAGATGATGCCTCAATAACAGCTAATGTGTTGAGCAGTCCTCTGGTAACCAGTACACTAGCTACTTGTCTGCGTCTCTGCTTCATCAAAACCACACCCCAGACTGGGAGGTGGTTCTTTTTTTTTCCGAGATGGAATCTCACTGTGTCTCCCAGGCTGGAGTACAGTGGTGTGATCTTGGCCCGCTGCAAGCTCCGCCTCCTGGGTTCAAGCGATTCCCCTGCCTCAGCCTCCTGAGTAGCTGGGACTACAGGTGCATGCCAACAAGCCTGGCTAATTTTTTGTATTTTTAGTAAAGATGGGGTTTCACCATGTTAGCCAGGATGGTCTCGATCTTCTCACTTTGTGATCCACCCGCCTCGGGTGGATGAGTACACTCATCCCGCATGAGTACAGTCACATAGCACTCAGGCAGAGCCAGCACTGTAACCCAGTCTCTGACCCTTAACCTCTCCAAGCTTTTCACCTGCACTTTATCCTGCAGAAATGAGGGTCAAAAAGGTGAGGCTTATAGCAAGACCCCATCTCTGCAAAAAACAGTTAAAAATCAACCAGGTGTGGTGGCATGCACCTGTGGTCACCGCTATTCAGGAGGCTGAGGCAGGATGAGACAGGAGGATCTCTTGAGCTTGGGAGGGTGGGGCTACAGTGAGCTGTGATTGCACCACTGCACTGGAACCTGAGTGACAGAGTGAGACCTTGTCTCAAAAAACAAGAAAGGTGAAGCAACTTGCCTAAGGCAACACAGCCAGGAGATGAGATACCATCCTAGTTAGTCCTTAGAATTTGGAGTCATGGGGCTCTGGGTTAAAATTCTAGTGAACCTGCTTACCTACAATGTGACGTGAGCAAGTAACTGTCTCCGTGAGCCCGTCTCCTCTTCCACATGTGAAATGATGTCACATCAACAATCAGCTTTGGCTGTAACACACCTAAAGCATCCATCAGTGGCTTTGACAAGATAGAAGTTTATTTCTTCGTCACAGAAAAGCCATGAGGTAGCCAGCTCAGCTCGGGGACCTAAGCTGCTGCTTTTTGTGGTTCTCCTGTGCACAGCTTCCCTTCCCAGTGTTGTGTCAAGGTCTAAGAGGCTCTAGCCATCATCTCTTCATTCCACCCGGCAAGGAGGACGAAGGGAGGGAAAGGGGGCAAAGGGCTCCTGCCATTCATTGAGAAAGTTTCTAGGCCGGGTGCGGTGGCTCACACCTGTTATCCCAGCACTTTGGGAGGCCGAAGCAGGAGGATTGCTTGAGCCTAGGAGATCAAGACCAGTCTGGACAACATAGTGAAACCCCGCCTATGCCAAAATATACAAAAATAGGTGGCCATGGTGGTGTGCGTCTGTGGTCCCAGCTCCTCCTGAGGTGGGAGGATTACTTGAGCTCAGGAGGTGGAGGCTGCAGTGAGCTGTGATCGCACCACTGCACTCCTGAGCGAGAGAGAGCGAGAACCTGTCTTTAAAAAAAAATTTCCGGGCCGGGCGCGGTGGCTCACGCCTGTAATCCCAGCACTTTGGGAGGCCGAGGCGGGTGGATCATGAGGTCAAGAGATCGAGACCATCCTGGTCAACATGGTGAAACCCCGTCTCTACTAAAAATACAAAAAATTAGCTGGGCATGGTGGCGCGTGCCTGTAATCCCGGCTACTCGGGAGGTTGAGGCAGGAGAATTGCCTGAACCCAGGAGGCGGAGGTTGCGGTGAGCCGAGGTCGCGCCATTGCACTCCAGCCTGGGTAACAAGAGCGAAACTCCGTCTCAAAAAAAAAAAAAAAAAATTTCCGGATGTTTTCCCATGACATTCCCACTCCTCCCCTACTGACCAGGAAGTAGTCTCGTGAACAGCTGCGAGAAAGGCTAAGAGTTGTACACTTTATTTTGGATTGCCCTGAGCAGGTATATTTGGAGTTCTATGACTGTTGTAGGAAAGGGAATAGATGTGGGTTGCCAGTTAATGGTTTGCCACAAATGGCGGAGACTAGAGCACGCCCCTCAGTGTTATAGGAGTGTTGGACACACGGACCGCTGAGGAAGGCCTGGCCAGTGTCGCTATTGCTCAGTAAATATTAGCTCTTGTTACTGACGTTATTGTTCCTGGTAGAGCTGGAGTTTGGATCCAGGTGGAGGGATGGTGCAGAGGAAAGGCGGGAGCTGGGACTCCAGGCCCCCTCCTTGTTAGCAGGGGAGCTTGCTGCATTGTATTTCCCCTCAGGACTGTGGTGACAGTCAGCCCCTCTCACTGGATGACGGGGAAGCGCTCAAAGAACAAGTGTCTGCGGGTGCTTTGTGGTGCAGGCCTGTACAAGCGGCCATTGTCCCTGTATGTGAACGGGACCTGCATTCCGATCTGGGCTGCCAGGCTGTGGACGATGGCTGGGCCCTGGCTGATGGCTGCTTTGAGGAGAAGGCTCTCATCGCAGTCTTGGGCTGAGATCAGAGGCTGTGGGGCGAGTGTCACTGAGGCCACAGTAGATTGTGGCAGGCTGAATGAGCAGGTCCAGACGCAGTTGGTTTCTCTCTTTCTGATTTGTCCTTGGTGCTTGCTTTCTCTTCCTGTCTTCAGTCCCAAGTGGACTCCGGGTCTGTCATTGCTTCTGTCCTTGTCAACGTTCATTTTTAAACCGTGGTTTGGATAAAGAAACAGCGTCAGAATCCTATGTTCATATGGAAGTGAGAAGTAAACAGGTCTGTCTCCCCCACCGGACTGTGACACCATGAGGGCAGGGCCAGGGCTGTCTCAGTTATTGGTATGCCCTAGCACAGGGCCTGCTTAACAGTTGAATGAATGAATGAGCAACTTCATGAACTCCTCTGACCCCATCTGACCCTAGAGACAGGATAATCCAGTGGTTAAGAATCGGTTTTGGGCAGGGTGCAGTGGTTCACGCCTATAATCCCAGCACTTTTGGAGGCTGAGGCAGGCGGATCACCTGAGGTTGGAAGATAGCCTGACCAACATGAAGAAACCCTATCTCTACTAAGAATACAAAATTAGCTGGGTGTGGTGGCGGGTGCCTGTAATCCCAGCTACTCAGGAGGCTGAGGCAGGAGAATTGCTTGAACCCAGGAGGCAGAGGTTGCAGTGAGCCAAGATCGCACTATTGCACTCCAGCCTGGGCGACAGGGCGAGACTCTGTCTGGGCCGGTGGGGAGTCTGTCCTATGCTACAATATTGATGAACCCATAACATCCAGGGTGTTATGCTAAGTGAAATGAGCCAGCCACAAAAAGACAGTATTGTATGATTCCACTTACAAGTACATAAATTAGTTAAACCTTGCTTGAGCCCAGGAGTTCCAGGCTGCAGTGAGTTATGATCACATTGCTTCACTCCAGCCTGAGTGACAGAGTGAGACTCCACCTCAAAGAAAGGAAGGAAGGGAGGGAGGGAGGGAAAGAGAAAGAGAGAAAAGAAAAGAAAAAAGAAAAAAAGGTGCTTACTTCGGCAGCACATATACTAAAATGGGAACAACACATAGATGAGTGCGGCCCCTGCACAAGGATGACACGAAAATTCTTGAAGCCTTCCATATTTTTGGTAAACAAAAAAAAAACTGAAAGAAAAGTCAAACCCTCAGAAAATACAGTGGTGGTTGACAGGGATGGGGGGAGGAGGAAAAGGGAGTTCAGTTTGGTTTCAGTTTTGCAAGATTGAAAAAGTTGTAGAGCTCTATTGCACCTTAGGGTGCATATAGCTACTACTGTGGTACTGTCTATTTAAAAATGTTGGCCGGGCGCGGTGGCTCAAGCCTGTAATCCCAGCACTTTGGGAGGCTGAGGCAGGCAGATCACCTGAGGTCAGGGGTTGTGACCAGCCTGGCCAGCATGGGGAAATCCTGTCTCTACTAAAGATACAAAAAATTAGCCAGGTGTAGTGGCACACGCCTGTAATCCCATCTACTCGAGAGGCTGAAACTCCCCAGGAGCGGAGGTTGCAGTGAGCCGAGGTCATGCCACTGCTCTCCAGCCTGGGCAACAGGAGCAAAACTCTGTCTCAAAACAAACAAACAAAGAAATTACTCTTAAATTAAGAATAAATAAATGAAAATTAAAAAGAAACAGATTTTGTAGTCAGGCCCGTCTGGGTCCAAATCCTACTTCTGCTTATTGCCAGTGTTAGGCAGGTGGGCCCCATGGCTCTGAGCCTCAGTTTGCTCATCTGTAACATGGGCATAAGAATAGTACTTTTTGGCCAAGCACAGTGGCTCACACCTTTAATCCCAGCACTTTGGGGGGCCGAGCCAGGCAGATCACAAGGTCAGGAGTTCGAGACCAGCCTGCCCAACATGGTAAAAACCCTGTCTCTACTAAAAATACAAAAATTAGCCAGGCATGGTGGCTCATGCCAGTAATCCCAGCTACTCCAGAGGCAGAGGCAGGAGAATCACTTTAACTTGCAAGGCAGAGAGGTTGCAGTGAGCTGAGATCACATCATTGCACTCCAGCCTGGGTGACAGAGCAAGACTGTCTCAAAAAAAAAAAAAAAAAAAAAAGAATAGTACGTTTCTCACATGGTTGGGAAGTTCGAGTGAGTGTGCATAAAACAGTGGCTGGTCTTTAGCAGGGTTCACTGACTTTTCCAGATACTCCCAGCAGAGCCAGGCCCTGGACTCTAGGTGTTTATTCCCAGCTCAGTGCTTTTTCCTTTCTGTAAAGCTGACCCTGCCAGTAGCTTCCCCGTACCTGCCAAATTCTGTCCTACAGTGTCCCGTGAGTCCTGGCTGTGGGAACGAGGCATTTGGCCTGGAGCAGCCTCAGACGTGTGATGGGATCTTGGCCTTGGACTTGGCTGGCCTGTCCCAGGGCAGAGGGAGCTGAGTGTGCTGTGTGGTTCCAGTTGAGGAATCGGCTAAGGAGGCAGGCGAGGTGCAGGGTAAGGAGCTGGACTCCAGTAGCTCCACCTCGCTGGGCCTGTGGTCTGAGCGTTCCCAGACTCAGTTTCTCAAGATGTGAAATGAGGGTGCCAGCAGCCTGGCACCTGGCATGTAGTGAGTGCAGGGTTGAAACTAGCAGGGTATTAGCTGTGGTCCCTGGTGAGTGACTCAGTTCCTTACAGCCCAGGCTGCATCTGCTCATCTGCTGGCTGAGGGCTAGGGTGGGAGATGGAGACAGAGTGAGGGGGTGCAAGAGCTTGGAAACTTGGAGCTGATGTTTTTTCCTGAAGGGGCTCAGAGTCCTCATCTGTTAGTAAGGATTATTTCTCTCTTTCCTTCGCTGGGTGTTATTGAGCTCCTGCCATGGGCCAGGTCCAGTTCTAGGCCCTAGGAATGCAGTGGACAACAAAACAGAGCCCTGCCTCAGGGGAGTTACGTTCTAGCGTGGGAGACAGGTGGTGGATGAATATGAGGGACAGTGGCAGGTGGTAGCAGGCGCTCAGAGGAAAACAAGTGGAGTTAAGTGGGTAAATTGTGTGGTATGTGAATTACATCTCAATAAAGCCACAGAGTGTAGGAGCTGGGATTGATAAGGGGGGAGCTATTTATTCGATTGATTATAGGGTCACCGAGGACGGCTTTTAGGAGGAGATCTGAAAGGAACAGGGGAGCAGCAAGCGCAGAGGTCCTGAGCAGAAGCGTGGGGCATGTCTGGAATGCCCAAGGAATGGTGTGAAGGCCAGTGTGCCTGGAACAGGGGAGGGGAGAAGTCAGAGAGGGACAGGCCAGTGCCTGTGAGGGCTGAGGGGGGTGGGGGGCAGCCCGACAAGTTTCAGTACATTCCCTGGAGACAGAGCCGAGGGACAAGGCTGCCCAGTGGTCCAGGTGAGAGGGGATGCTGGCTGGACCAGGGTGGGGGTGGGGATGAGACGTGATTGGACTCTGGGTATGTGTCTCTGGGTGCTCAAGTCAAGATTTCATGGACAGGACAGCAGCCGCTCCTACAGCTCTTGTAGGCTCCTCTGGGAGCACCCAGCGAGAGGTCAGCCAGGGCCCAGCTCTCTGGAAGCTCAGTGCTGGGAGCTGTAGCTGCCAGATTTTCTTCTTATCATGGCGCTGTTATGATGACTTGGACTTATGACCCCTGCATGCAGGCGTAGACCTGAGGGCTATCAACTTGGGACAGTCTTCCCTGTCTCAGTAGCTTTTTTTTTTTGGCTCATGCGTAAAAGTGGTAGGGACTTAGTGCCCTTTTTTTTTTGGATTTTTTTTTTCCTTTTTGGTTGTTTTAAAAAACAGCGTCATTGAGATACAGTTCACACAGTTCACTCATTGAAGGGTGTAATTCAGTGCTTTTCAAGATAGATTGTACAGATATCACCACAAGCAAATATTAGAACATTTTCATTACCCCAAAAAGAAGCCCTGACCGGGCACAGTGGCTCATGTCTGTAATCACAGCACTTTGGGATGCTAAGGCAAATGGATCTCTTGAGGTCAGGAGTTCGAGACCAGCCTGGCCAACATGGTGACACCCAGGCTGTGCTAGCTACTTGGGAGGCTGAGGCAGGAGAATTGCTTGAACCTGAGAGGCGGAGGTTACAATGACCTGAGATTATGCTACTGCACCCCAGCCTGGGTGACAGAACCCAGCTAATTTTTTGTATTTTTAGCAGAGCCTGGGTTTTTTTTTTTTTTTTTTTTTTTTTTTTTGAGATGGAGTTTCGCTCTTGTTACCCAGGCTGGAGTGCAATGGCGCAATCTCGGCTCACCGCAACCTCCACCTCCCGGGTTCAGGCAATTCTCCTGCCTAAGCCTCCTGAGTCGCTGGGATTACAGGCACATGCCACCATGCCCAGCTAATTTTTTGTAGTTTTAGTAGAGACGGGGTTTCACCATGTTGACCAGGATGGTCTCGATCTCTTGACCTCGTGATCCACCCGTCTCGGCCTCCCACAGTGCTGGGATTACAGGCTTGAGCCACCGCGCCCGGCCAAGAGCCTGGGTTTTGCCATGTTGGCCAGGCTGGTGTCGAACTCCTGACCTCAGGTGATCCGACTGCCTTGGCCTCCCAAAGTGCTGGGATTACAGGTGTGAGCCACTGCGCCTGGTTAATTCCCTTATTTCTAAAGGTTAGCAGGTTGGTTCACCTCTGAGGTATAGCCCACTTAACCTCAGAAGTGAGCTTGCTGCTAAGCTCAGTTGTGTGTGAGGGTGGTGACCCTCAGTCCTGTTTGCTGCTGCAGAAGAAGGACCCAGCACAGTTCCTGCAGGTACATGGCCGAGCTTGCAAGGTGCACCTGGATTCTGCAGTCGCCCTGGCCGCTGAGAGCCCCGTTAACATGTAAGACTGATACGGGAAGCAGGGGAGTGTCTGTGACTGAAGTTTGGGAGTCAGAAGGGACCCGGGGTGGTGAAGAATCTGGAGCAGAGTCTGAAGTATGGACAGATGTTTGGGGACTCAGGCAGGGAAGGCGTGACCTGCATGTGAAGGTGATAGTCACAGGGTGTAAGAACAATGGAGGCCCCAGAGTAGCAGTCGTGGATGGAGGACTTAGAAATGGGTGGAGCCAGGGCTAGAGGCCCAGAGGAAGCAGAGAGTAGGTTGCCAGCGGGGGCTGTCTCAGGGTGCCTAGGGCCCTCACATACCCACTAGGACCTGGTTCAAGTGCCCCACTATTGCTTGGTTCTGAGAAATGGGGCCCTGGTGTCCCCAGGGGCAGTCAGATGACTGGCCTATTTCAGGTCCCAGGAGCCTGAATGTGGAGTCAGGGAAGCTTGCAACAGAGGGACCGAGACCGGGGGGGTGAGGCGAGGGCCGTGGCAGGGGGACCAGAGTGGGCTGAGGACCAGGCTTCCAAGCCTCAGCTGGCAGGGAGCAAGCACTGGGTCCTGGGCAGTGTGGACCCTGAGGTTCTTGCTTTCCTGCTCCCCTCCCACTTCAGGATGCCCTGGCAGGGGGACACCAACAACATGATCGATCGCTTCGACGTCCGTGCCCACCTGGATCACATCCCCGACTACACCCCCCCGCTGCTCACCACCATGTAAGCCACCTCCCAGGGGGTTGCCAGGCACGGCACCACGTCATACCCAAAAGGCCCTGTTCTTTTCCCAGCCTGCCTGTCACCTTCCTAGGAGCCCCTCCTATTTGGTACCGCCCTCAGCCTGAGCGGGACACCTCATTTCCCTTCCTGCTGGTTTGGGGTGAGATCTACCTATTCCCCCTGATTTCAAGGTCTTGCCCTCCCCCAAAGCTCCCCAGAACAGGAGTCGGACGAACGGAAGTGTAACTACGAGCGCTACCGAGGTCTGGTGCAGAACGACTTTGCCGGCAGTGAGTGATCTGCAGGGGGACATGGGATGTGGGGCTTGGGGGCCCCAGAGCCTGGAAGACCTAGATAAATTTGGGAAGAAAAGTTTTATCCATATACTTTCTGCTAAAGGGCCTTGGGTTCCTGCTCCAGCTCTGTGATAGACTCACTTTGCCTGCATCTCTTTCCCCCTCGGGGCCTCCATCTCTGGATTTGGTATAGGGGACATCTGCCCAATTGGTTATTCCTGGCAGGGTCACTTCCATGTACTATGCCTTCTGACCCTGTGGTCTTTTTTCCTTTAAAAAATAGAAGAAATAGCAAGAATACTTTTTTTTTTCTTTTTGAG